CTCTTGCTCAGACTGGTCTCGAACTCCTGAGCTCAAACAATCCGCCCGCCTCGGCCTCCCAGAGAGCTAGGATTACAGGCGTGAGCCACCGCGCCGGGCCTAATGATAAGCTTTTGAGAACCATTTAATGTGTTGAAAGTGGTACTGGCGCAAGCAGAGTAAGAATAAATAATAGCGCTCTGGTCTGGAACTCCTGAGCTCAAACAATCCGCCCGCCTCGGCCTTCCAGAGTGCTAGGACTATAGGTGTGAGCCACCGCACTCGGCCAATATAAAACATTTTCAACATTTGAAAATGTTGTATTGGACAGCACTAAATTAGACTGATAGATCATTTTCAGCAGCAATAAGGGAAGGTGGAATGTAACAGAATAATCTCTTAAATGTGCTGGGGGAAAAATTATCATCTTAGAATTCCATATCCAGAAAACTATCTTTCAAGGACAAGAGTAAAAGACATTTTTATACAGGCAAAAACTGGAAGAGTTTACTAATAAACCATCTAAAGGAAATTTTCAAGGATAGAAACAATGATTCCATATGCAAGATTTGAGATTCAAGAAGGAATGAATAAAAAAATGATAAATATGTAGATGAGTATAAACTAACATTGTATGAAACAGTAAGGTCCAAATTGTAGGGAAGGGGAATAGACAGAACTAAAACAATGTACAATTGCATGTAAGTTGGAAGGGACAATTAGAGTTAAAATGTCATTGGGTCCTTGCAGAAGACAGAAATCCAAAAACAAGCAAGCAACGGGAAAAAAGAAAAGGCAAGATAAAGTGAAGCACATAATGTTAGAAATAAATCTAAATATATCAGTATTTTATTTATAAACAAATAAAATCTCTAAAGAACAGATTGGTAGAATGGACTAAAGAACATAATCCAGATATAAGCTATATGCGATGAAACCCAAACATACACAAAAAGATTGAAAGTAAAAAATGGAGACCAGGCTGGGCGTGGTGGCTCACGCCTGTAATCCTAGCACTCTGGGAGGCCAAGGCGGGCGGATTGCTTGAGCTCAGGAGTTTGAGACCAGCCTGAGCAAGAGCGACCCCGTCTTTACTAAAAATAGAAAGAAATTAATCAGACAACTGAAACTATATAGAAAAAAAATTAGCCGGGCATGGTGGCGCATGCCTGCAGTCCCAGCTACTCGGGAGGCTTAGGCAGTAGGATCGCTTGAACCCAGGAGTTTGAGGTTGCTGTGAGCTAGGCTGATGCCACGGCACTCTAGCCCAGGCAAAGAGTGAGACTCTGTCTCAAAAAA